CATCTATAAAGTAAAATAAATGTTTAAAATTTTAAAAATATTTGTTAAAAACAAAAAAACACGAAAATCAAAAAATTAAATTTTTAAAAAACTTAACCAAAAAAATTCAAACCAAACAATTGAATGGTATAATTGTTAAAATAAATAAAACTCACAAATTTATATTAAATAATTATAATTGCGATTTGTGCGGTATAAGATTTTCCGAACCAATCAAAAAATTTTCAGCAACAGACGGCAACACACAGGCATATACTCCTATACATTCGAAGTGGTCACATCATAAAACCTTTTTTAACTCCACTGGTTCTCTCTCTGTCTCTCTCAAGGACCATTTCAATGGCTTCCGAAGCACAAAGCAGCGCCCCAGACAATCTTCCTCTGGTTCTGATTCATCGAATCCCACCTTTCGAACTCTCCTTCAAATCATGGCTTCCAACCCGATTCCGCCTCCTCGACCCGTTAGACCCCTCCTTCTCCTCCCCACAGACCCAGTCTCTGGTCTCATCCGTACGCCTCCTCCTCTGCCTCGGTCCCTCCCCTCTCACCTCCGACACTCTCGATCGCTTCCCCTCCGTCCAGTGCGTCGTCGGCTCCAGTGCCGGCCTCGACCACGTCGACCTCGCCACCTGCTGCCGCCGCGGTATCACTGTCACCAACGCCGGCGACGCCTTCTCCGCCGACGCCGCTGACTTCGCCGTCGCTCTCCTCATCGACGTTCTCCGCCGTGTCTCCGCTGGCGACCGGTTCATTCGTGCCGGGTCGTGGCCTGCAAAGGGACAGTACCCTCTTGGTTCCAAGGTCATTTTCGTCCTTTACTTTTTTCCCTCTTCTGCTCTGCTTGCTTGTGAGCTTTTTTTTATTTCAATTTCTCGTTCATCGATTTGGTTATTTTAAATTTCCATGCATATGCATGTATGCTGCTTGTGTATATTACTGACCGAATCTAATGCATACATAATTGTTAATGATTGTACTGACAACTAGTAAAAATGGTCCGTGACCTTGAACGGCCTAAAACTCGTCCGCGACTTGAGGTGGTCTTAGCTCGTTTAGACTTGGGCCCAAACCAAGCTTGAGCTATCATTTTGAAATCAAGCTCGATTCATTGCCCGTTCAAGGCCCATTCAAAAGCCCGGTCTAAGGCCTGGCCCGTCCGAGATCCAGTGTTATTTTTAATAAAAAATAATAATATTTTAATAAAAAAATTTAAAAAATTATTTTGGCCAGCCCAAACCCATCCAAAGCGTGAGCCTAGGCTTAGTGGCCCGACCCACTGGCCCGCCCAAAGCCCGAATATCCTTGGGCCTTGGCTTAGTTTTCTGACTAGTGGACCGGCCCAGACCGGCCTGATTTTTGGTGGGAGTCCGCAAGGCCCGACATGGGCCGGGTCGGACCAAAATTACACCTTTACTGACACAAAATCCGACAACTCCTATACCGATGATGACCTCAATTAGATTTTGACGATTAATTTTTGGACCCTTTTTTATGGGTTTGTTTGGCTTTAATTTCTTGGCTACACAAAACGATTGTTTTGGAAAGTTTTAGAAAGTTAATATAAAGTTAGTTTTTTGATTTTTTTGTGATTTTTTGTGTTGAAAAAGTTGTCTTTTTTGTGACTTGTTATGTGTAAAAAAATTAAAAAGCCAAAAAGTTGGCTTTTTTAAAATGTTCCCAAAACGACCCAAAAGATAAAGTAAGCTAAATAAGTTAATAAGATGAAATATTATATCTAAACCATAACTATTTTACTTTTTTTTCATAAAAGTATAAAAAAAAAAAAATAAATCAAAAAAGACAAACCAAACAAACTTTTAGTCTCAGATTAAAACAATCAAAAAGTCAAAAAAAACAACTAAAAAAAGCCTATTGTCAAAGGACGACTATGGGCTACTTTGGAAAGATGGTTAAAAGCCATCTTCCTGCCTTTAAATCATTTTGGATCACATCATCTCTCATATTTTTTACACATTTTTTTTTAAAAAAAAAAAGTCAAAAAAAAGTTTAAAAGTTAACTTTTTACTATTTTCTTAAAACAACCCTATGTTTGGGCCACTTTTGGTCTTTTGATTTTAAATTTTTTTAATTTATTTTTAAAATTAATTTTTATTAAAAATTAGGTAGAAAATCATATATTGAATGTCACGTGGGATAAAAATATTTTATTATATATAACTCATATTCTAGTTGTCGAAGGACGACTATGGGCTACTTTGGAAAGATGGTTAAAAGCCATCTTCCTGCTTTTAAATCATTTTGGATCACATCATCTCTCATATTTTTTACACATTTTTTTAAAAAAAAAAAAGTCAAAAAAAAGTTTAAAAGTTAACTTTTTACTATTTTCTTAAAACAACCCTATGTTTGGGCCACTTTTGGTCTTTTGATTTTAAATTTTTTTAATTTATTTTTAAAATTAATTTTTATTAAAAATTAGGTAGAAAATAATATATTGAATGTCAAGTGGGATAAAAATATTTTATTATATATAACTCATATTCTAGATATAAAGTTCAATTCCAATATAATAATATATTTTTTTATCTTATATGATGATTGTTATGATATTTGCTGTCTAATTTTGAATCGAAATTAGTTTTAAGAACAAATTGAGAAAAAATTAAAACATAAAGGGTTAAAAAAAGAAAAAAAAACAATGTAAGAAAGTTGCCAAACATAAAAGGTCATAGTGTAATTTATCCATTAATTTAACAGGCTTAGTTCGTAGTTATAAATTATTTCTTTGCTCCTGCGACAATGCCACATGTTGTTCTAACTTGCTATTAATTAGTTAAAATAATAAAATCTTAGATATTCTTTGTTAAATTTTGAAAAATAACTTAATAAATATTGTGATTAATAGTCGAGGACCACCAAATAATCGTTGATTCTTATTGCTCTTCAATTACTTATTTTCCTTATTAAAATAATTTTTTTGTTTTACGTAAATACATAATTAGGTATATTTTAAATTGAGTAGTTCTACTAAGGCTATCTCTAACCGTGCATCAAATCCAACATCAAATTCAAATTTGATAAAAAAAAATGTGCTTTTTGTGCTCTAATGGTTGCACCAAAAAGTATCAAATTGAGAAAATATCAAACGTTTCACCAAACTTGTTGGAAAATTTATAAAGAGGTAGTTGTGAATTGAAATAGAGTCCATTTTGAATGAAATGGTGTAATCTTTCATGGTGTCTTTTTGTTTTAGAGGAAGGGTTATGTCCCTTCTTCATACCTTTTCTATTCAAATTGAATAGGTGTCAACAAAGCCTATTTAAAGGCAATCCCATTCCAATTTTGATTGATTCCGAAAATTCATTTTCCTTGCCTTCATTTTGCTCTCTTGCGTCCTTTATTCTTCATATTATTTTAAGAAAAATTTCAGAGAGTTATAGAATTCAAGGTTCTGGTTCGTCGAACAAATTTGTTTGAAGTGTTACTATAAATTTGTGAAGATCATTGTGTCTTGGGAGATAGACGCCACATAACCGTAAGCACCGTAGCGGGGCGAATCTGTCTTAAGGACAGAGTGTCACACACTCGACTTAGTCTTTAAATTATTGATTCGGTTCAACAAAATAAATTATGTAAGTTTTATTTTATTTTGTTTGAATTATTTTATTTACACAGAAGATTGTTCCAACAATCTTAAGACAGATTCGTCTTATTCTGTTTACAGAAATTTTCATTTGTTTCTTTTTCTCTTTCTTCGTTTAAGAAAATTATTTTCTGTAGATTTACAAAATAATATTCTGGTTGGAAAAACAAATAGTGATTATATGCTATTTGACAGATAGTAGTAATATACTGTCTATTTTCTTTGACAACTAGTAGTACGATACTGGTGTCATTAACAATTCAGAATATATTTTTGTGGAATTTTTTCAGAAATTAATTTTGGGTTTTTTAAAAATTATTTTCTGGATTTTCATTAATTAAAATTCTGTTCCAGTATTTTAATTATTGTAGTGTTATAGAAATTTAATTTTCTGTGTAAAATTAATTTGGTTAAATAAAATTTTATTTTATTTCCAAATTAATTGGAAAATAAAAGTTACATTTTTGTTTCTTTTATTTTTACAGAATTTAATTCTGTGAATTTGGATTAGTTTTCTGTGTGGAATTAATTTGGTTAAATAAAATTTCATTTTATTTTATTTCCAAATTAACTGAAAATAAAAGTTACATGTTGTTTTGTTTCTTTTATTTTAACAGAATTTATTTCTGTAGTTTTGGAATTGGTTGTTTGGGATGATCTAAATAAGTGCACTTTTTGTCTTTTTACGAAAAGATGTGCAGAAAAGTAGAGAGGTGATGTGATGGAAAAAAGATAAAAAGATAGATTATATTGGGGATGCCAAACTTGGCCTAATTTGGTTAAATAAAATTTTATTTTATTTTACTTTATTTTCAAATTAATTGAAAATAAAAGTTATATTTTGTTTTTGTTTCTTTTATTTTAACAAAATTTATTTCTGTAGTTTTGGTTTAATTTGTTTAAATAAAATTTTATTTTATTTACAAATTAATTGGAAATAAAAGTTTCAATTCTTGTTTCTTTTATTTTTACAGAATTTAAAATTCTGTGTTTTTTGGTTTAAATTTTCTGTGTAGTGTAAAATTCTAATTCTAATTTTATTTTATAATTTAGAATTTATGGTTACTAAAACTAGTCAAACTAATGTTCAAACCAGTACTAGTATGGTGATTGCCATTACGCCAACCTCTCCTTATGTTGGGACTGTGCTAGCGAATCATGGTAAAAAACCAGAGAAGTTCTTAGGAACTGTTTTTAAAAGATGGCAGAAGAAAATGCTATCTAACGGAGGGGAAGTTAAGAAATACAAGTTTAATGGCATGTGTTACATTGTAACAAAGAGAGACATCGGGCCAAAGATAGCCGTTACAAACGTAAAGGCAAAGGAAGATCAAGTAAGAAGGTCGCTAAAGCCAAAATGACCGAAATTGATAAAATTTCTAATGGCGTAGATGTCATAAATCTTTCTACAGTTGTTTCCGAGGCAAATCTTGTCAGAAATCCTAAAGAATGGTGGGTGGACACTGGTGCTACTCGCCATATCTGTGCCGACAAAAAGATGTTCACATCTTATTCTACAGTAGACAATGGTGAACAACTTTTTATGGGCAACTCTTCAACTTTCAAAGTTGAAGGATAAGAAAAGATTGTACTTAAAATAATATCTGGAAAGGAACTCACTCTCAACAATGTGTTGCATGTACCGGACATTCACAAGAATCTTGTTTCCGGATCTTTGTTGAGTAAGAATAGGTTTAGGCTAGTTTTTGAAAGTGAAAAGTTTGTACTTACCAAAAACGGGATGTATGTAGGAAAATGTTACATGTCTGATGGCCTTTTCAAAATGAATGTAATGACTGTTGTACCTTCTGTTATTAATAATAATGCATCTTCTTCTTACTTGCTTGAGTCTTCAAATTTATGGCATGGTAGATTAGGACATGTTAATTATGGATATTTGTGTAGATTAATTAATATGGAATGTTTACCTAAATTTGACATTGATTCAAATCATAAATGTAAAATTTGTGTTGAAACAAAACTATCTAAAACTCCTTTTCATTCAATTGAAAGAAGTATGGAACCACTTGAATTAATTCATAGTGACATTTGTGATTTTAAATCAATTCAAACTAGAGGTGGGAAAAAGTATTTTATCACTTTTATAGATGGCTGTACTAGATATAGTTATGTTTATTTAATTCGAACCAAGGATGAAGCTTTGGAAACTTTCATTCAATATAAGAATGAAGTTAAA